CGTTTTATTGGGGGCTCTTACAGCGCTTATAACATTTCATACATCGATTATATCAAGCGTATTGATACATGTTGCTGTCATCATTTTCTAAACATTTACTTTCTAGTTGAACCCTTGGTATCAGCTCCTCTTTTTCCCTCCCTCTCCCACGTTCCCACTCTCGTGACCCTGATAAATTATAAATTATTATTGTTTTCATATCTTACACCGACCGCCTTCTCCCAGCACCCACGTTTCTGTAGTTCATCGCCCCCTCTCCCGGGGGTGTGGGTTATGTGTCCATTATTGCAATCTGTCCCCTTTCCTCCCCTCCGCCCCTCACCTTCCCCCTTTTCCTGAGGGTTTATCTGACCTGCATTCTGTGTGTTCCAATCTCTAATCTGTACCAACGTACTGTCAGGTCTCCTGGGTATGGCGACTAGTGGAATCGTTGGGTCAAATGGTGAGTCCCGACAATGTTTCGAAGCTACGTCTAAGATTTTTATCAGCTCCTTGCTCCGAAGTGGTCTGGTTTTGGTCTGGAAGCTCCAAGGAATCCCGTTCATTGTGGGTGACCCTGCTGGTATTCAAAATATCAACGACATAGCTTCCAGGACCACAACAACACGTAAGCCACCACAGTGCAACAAACAAAGGTTGTGGCGAGTTAGGATCCACAATCAGTGCTCATGGAAGCAGCTGTCTAGGTATCAAAAGAGTTGCATTAGGTAAATCTGCTGCACAAGACCTTTTTTAGAGTATTGAAAAGCAAGGATGTTACTTTGAGGACAAAGGTGCACCTGATCCAAACCATATTTTGAATCGTCTTATATGAATGTGAAAGTTGAACATTGAATAAGGAAGATCAAAGAAGAACTGATGTATTTGTTGCTGTTGTTTTTTAAAGCTGCTTTTATGAGGAGCTGTGCATCCATCATGACCATCAATTCTTTTTTTTTAATTTATCACCTTATTTTATTCCCCTTTGATTCATTTTTAATTTGCTCTAGATTTTTAAAAATCATTTTATTAGGGGCTATGCAACTCTTATCACAATCCATACACACATCAATTGTGTAAAGCGCATTTGTACATTCATTGCCCTCATCGTTCTCAAAACATTTCCTCTCCACTTAAGCGCCCCCCCCTGCATTAGGAGTGACCATCAATTCTAATGCACCTTCTCACATTCATTATTTGCTCCCCAATTCCCATCCACCTCCCCTTATCCCCCATACATTGCATACAATACATACAGTGCATCAGTTATTTTATATATAGTTTTATAAACTGGGAAACATGACAAACATTTTCAAACCCAGGAAAAAAATTAATAATAAGAAGAAAGAAAACCACCAGTAATATTAAAATAAGCTAGAGAGAACATTTCTGTCATAATTTCTGTCGTGGCACAAGAGAAAAATATTTAAACCTAGAGTAAATTCAGGATGGGCCAAAAGAGAAATCAATTGACCAGGTATCATATTACACTGCAGTTCAAACCACCATAAACAAGTTTACAATGATCTCTGTCTGAAAGCAAAGCTGTCATCCCTCACTGTGGCCAGAGGGGAGAGGCCAGAGGCTGAATCTGACTAGGTACAATGCAGATGGATTCTGGGCTCCCCCGTCCTCCACAGTTCTACAACCTAGGTGTTCACCATTTAAGGCCTGCTATCTTTCCCTTCGTCATATTTGGATTTAGGATCAATGCATTTGAATTGTGCTGGAGAAGAATATTGACAGTCCCACAGACTGCTAAAAGGACCAATACATCTGTCTTAGAAGAATTACAGCCAGAATGCTCCTTATAGCCATGGATGGCAAGACTTCATCTTACCTACTTTGGATACATTGTCAAGAGAGACCAGTCCCTGGAGAAGGATATCATGTTTGGTAAAGTGGAGAGGCAGCACAAAAAAAATAGAGAAGAGTCTGGAGGCAATGGATTGGCACTGGCTACAACAGTGAGCTCAGGCATAGGGTGAGCGTGGCACGGGACCATGCAGTGTTCCTTCCGTTGTGCACAGGGAGGGTTGCTATAGATTGGAACTGGCACCTACTACTCCTATGGTAGTTCTACTATGTTTAACTTTTTGAAGGACCACTACACTTTTCCACAGTGACTGGACCATTTTGCATGGGTATATATTCCAATTTCTCCACACCCTTGTCAAGATTTGTTCTTTTTTTCCTGATTTAAAAGATTTTTTTATTTTAGCCATCCTACTGGGAATGAAAGGTGCCCTGTTAGCAGAGTAGGTTATGCATGGGGCTGTTAGTTACAAGGTGGACAGTTCTGACTGACTGTCAGCCACTGTGTGGGACAAAGATTAGGCTCTGTTCCTGTAAAGAGTTGCACCCCACCGAGGGTAGTTCTGCTCTGTCTGCAGTAGGACTAGACTGATAGCTCAGTGTAGTTTTGCTTTGCATCTTTAGTGGCTGACACCGTTCAGCATTTTTTTTCATGGACTTATTGGCCATCTGAGTATCTTCTTTGGTGACAAATCTGTTCAGGTTTTTTACTTACCATTTTGAGTGTGCTGTCACCCTGTTGTTAAGCACTGAGTAGAAGTTTCCTATGTAACTTTTTAGATATTAGACCCTTGTTGCCTATGTGGCAAAGATATTTTCCCAATCCATGGAGTGTCTCCCCACTTTCTGGATAAAATCTTTTCTTCAACAAAAGGGTTTCATTCTTATGAGATCCCATTTCTCTGTTTTGTCTTTGGCCCCTGTGCTTTTGGGATAACAGCTGCTAATCCACCATTAAAAGCTAGTACACAGGCACATCCTTGTGAGAACATTAACTCAGATCTTGATTTCCACACTCAGGCTTGTGATGCATTTGGACCAGCTTGGTGTGTGCTCTGCAGCATGGACCCTGACCCATGTTTCTGCATGCAGAAATACAGTTTCCCCAG